TGAATAACGAGTGAGAGCTGTTGGCTCTGCGGCGCCCTGTTCCGCCTACTTCGCAGGGTAAAGTCGTTTCGTTAGCGAAATGGACGGTTGACGTTTGTTTCAGTGTCGGCCATTTTTGAGTTGAAAACCTGTTTAGGCACGTTTGGGGGTGAACAAAAATCATGGAAGTCGCGCCATCGTTGCCGAACGCTTTTTATTTATTTTAATTATTATACATATATAATGTATGAGTTATTTTTGATATATGACTTAAATATATTTATTAACAATTATTTTAATATATTAATAATGTTATACTGTTCATAAATAAATATATTAACTACTGTTAACTTACTTAGTTTTCACTTCTATCGGCAGTCCCTAAAGATTGTCCCGTATTTATTTTTATATCAATTCATTTATCATATCGACAGGATAGAATCCTGTTGATCTGGGTGAATGGAGATAATATTTATTGATTATACATAATGTTGGATATATAAATAATTTTTTTTATTTAATTTTATATCGATAGATATTTAAGAAAGGCCTTGTTTTTTTTAAATTACATCTTTAACATTACATCGTTACGTTAACTAATTAAATATTTAACAATACAACGTTAAGTTGATATTATAAGATGTTATAATGAAATTCATTTTATATTCGTCTCCATAATCAAATGACTATTAATAAAGCCTTCAAACCCGCGCATTTGCGCAGAAATTAAAAAAAATTACATCATCAAGAAACGAAATTTCATGAAATTAAATAATTTAAATTGAAACGCATTATAGCACTCACTACTTCGGTGTCTTAAATTTTACGCGGGAGAGCCTACGCCAAAGTTCCAGTTAAAAACCATAAAATTTCATCCTTTGAAATATTAATTTGTTTCATCTAACAACTCCCTATAAAACCTTGATATATTAATACGAATACATATTTCGTTTATCATATAACTTAGAGCGTATAGGTTACTAAAGTATTTACTACTAGCTGCTGCCCGCGACTACGTCTGCGTAGAACAGGCTGAAACCGTAACATTCAGACAGAAAGACAAAAATAAACATTAAATATGTATATAAATTACAGCCTATGTCTTATTTTGATGTATCAGCTATATTGTCGTAAAGTTTCATCAAAATCCATTCAGTAGTATCTGCGTGAAAGAGTAACAAACATCCATCCATACATACAAACTTTCGCCTTTACAATATTAGTAAGGATTTGTGGGAGTTATTAACGTTTAAGGGGTAGCGGGCCGTGTTCATTTTTAACTGTGCTACTAAGTCACAAACATCACAACATAATTCACCACAATGGATCAAATAAAATTGTGCACCCGTATTGTATAAATGGAATGGGGATTAAAACGTTACTTCTAAACAAATCATCATCATCGGGTGATGACCCTGCCCTTATCCCACCACCTAGGTATCGGCACAACATGTGACTGACGTTGTAATCGGCTGAATTTGTTACGGCCGCCTACCTAGCGCCATCCCTCCTTGGAACAAACGCCCATATCCGAAACAATTATCTACGGGTAACACAAATACTCGTCCCGTGTGACAATCGAACCCACGACCCCCGTCACCGAAGCTTGCCTTGTACTATTACCCTACCTTGAACTATTCCTACTATCTTCACGTATTCTTAAAGAAAAAATTATTGTATCTATATATTGATATAATAATAACAAAACCAATTTAGGGTTTTGAATTCGCTGCGATAATTATACAGCATTAAAATAAACAAATAATAATAATAATAATAATAATAATAATATTATTTATGTATATATATATATATATGTTTATTTTTATCCATAATATTTATTTTATATATGCAATATATATCTATATCTTTATTTTTATTTATTATTTATAAACCCAACCAGACGAGAAAACAAATGAATATCCCCCCAATAATAATATATCTGATATCTTGTTGATGGACCGGGCACAGTCGCGGGTATTTTTGGTCGACATTACCATTCCATATGACGAGAACCTCGTGAAAGCCGAAACAGATAAGAAGACGAAGTATCTGGACCTGGCTCACGAGGTGACCGACATGTGGGGTGGTGTGCCGACCGAAATTATCCCGATAGTCGTGTCTGCGAATGGGTTGATCCCAGTCAGCCTCTCTAAACATCTGAGGCGACTGGGACTCCGGGACGGATCGCTCCAGGCTCAAATGCAGAAGGCGGTGCTCCTCGATACCGCCCGCATCGTCTGCCGGTTTCTCTCCCTTTCGCCCTAACCCCCGGCCGTTTGGTCTCCCCTGCCGAGGGCTTCCGTCTGGTTGAGTCCTATTTATATATGTATTATATAAAATATTTATTTTTATATATATATATATCTTTATTTCTATCCATAATATTCATTTTATGAAAACAAATGAATATCCCCCACAATAATAATAAAATATCTTTATTCACATAGACGCTTGCGCGTTCTTATGAAACGTCAAAATTTTACAAGAAATTAACACGTTCGTAAGTTACCACCGGTTCGGAAAGCAGTTTCTGTTGAGAAGAAACCGGCAAGAAACTCAACAGTTGCTCTTTTTTAAAAAATCAGTTTACAATATAATAGTACAGGTACAATAGTCTTGTTTTAGCCTACGTGAGCATCAACAGTATTAACCCCACACATTGGCGTCGTCAAGATATTCGGCAATAGTATAATAGGCTTTAGCCATAAGTGTACTTTTAATTTTTCGTTTAAATTCATCAAGTGGCAGACTTAACATCGACTGTGGGATTTTATTATACATGCGCACACTTTGCCCCATGAACGATCTGTTTACTTTTTGTAGGCGAAATAATGGCGTAGTTAGTTTGTCCTTATTTCTAGTATTTAGTTTATGTCTGTCACTATTCTTTTGATAATTATTAGTATTCTGTTTAACATACAAAATATTACAATAAATATATTGAGACGCAACAGTGAGTATATTAATCTCTTTAAAAAGATCTCTGAGTGTATTCCGGGCTCCGATGTTATAAAATTTGCTCGGACAGCTCTTTTTTGAATAATAAATATTGAATTTATATCAGATGCACTACCCCACAACAAAATGCCGTACGACAAGATGCTGTGAAAATAACTGTAGTAAACAAGTCTGGCAGTGTCGATGTCTGATAGCTGCCTAACCTTCCTAATTGCAAAAACAGCGGAGCTTAACCTATTCGCAAGAGATGATAGATAGGGACTCCATTGGAGCTTTGAATCTACTGTGATTCCCAAGAATACAGCGGACTCAAAGCGGTTTTTTTAGCATTTAACACCATATTATTAATAGTAAACCAGTGGAGGATACGCGAAAGTGCACTATTCACGTCGTCATAATTCAATACATTTCGGTCAACCTTAAAAATAAGCGATGTGTCGTCAGCAAACAGTACAACATCACATAACTCACTGGCATAAAAGGGGAGATCATTTATATATACTAAGAATAATAATGGGCCCAAGATTGATCCTTGTGGGACACCCATTTTCATGGGGGACCCTGCGGAATTTACATCATTTATAGATACTTTTTGAATTCTATTACTAAGGTAAGAGGCAATGAGATTGAGGGCGATGTCACGAATGCCATATCCGTAACTATGCTGTTGAAGATTGCTATCTTCGTGGCATAATTGAAAATCGCCTACCAATAAACGGTAGAGGAACAAGGGAATTGGTTTAACGCACTGGATTGTATATTTTTCAGGTCATTTGTACAATTTTTCATTTCAAAATAACAATGTTTATTATCAATATAATAGTTTAAAAAAAAAACAAATAAAAATATATACATGTTCATTTAGACCTTTGTTGTTGTTCTAGCAACGAATGTGAACAGTGAAATTTAAAAAGAAATATGGCAAATCATTTCAATCGTGCAAGATTTACGGCCAGTTCCAATATTCTATCTATCTGTAGCTTTGGTTACTGGAGATGGAATTTTGACGTAAGCATTGTGGGGCAAATGTTAGATACCCATCGTCGGTAACCAAATCTACTTATACATAGAATATTGAATCGTTAATGGACATGAATGGTAAAGAAAAACAAAATAAATTTTACATTTCATTCGTTGATGTCTTTTTAAGTGTCCATCACTCTAGACGTTTAAACAACTTCGACTTTCCGATGAGGCAACATTATAATAAAAATTTAACTAGTCAGCTGATGTAGTGGTTTTAAAAAAATCACTTTACAAGCCTGACTTTCTCGATGTTTTAGAGTAAATCTAGATGTTTGCAGGTGGAGATGGCTGATCCAACCTTTTTTTAAATTGGTATTTTGAAATGAAAAAATTGTTATAATGAAAAAAACATCTAAAAACCTATATATTCATCAAGCACCCGCCTACGCCTCCCCCATTTTTGGAGGTGAAAACGTCATGACAAAGTTTTTTGTAAAATTACACTACAATTTATATAACTATACAATGTTCTTTAAACAAAATACAACGATGTCTAACTTCATGGATGTGCTGAAGTTTTTTGGAAAATATTTTATTAATTTTCAATTACTCTTGGGATTAATTGAACATAAACAAAGAGTCAGTGAGCGATGTAAATGATAGTAACGTAACTTGCCAAAACCTCATCCGGTAACCTGTCCACATTTTCCGTAGCTTGTACCGCGGGGAGTTTCCAACTTACATTTTCCAAAGAATCAACTTAATGACTATTTCGAACCAAGCCCTTGCCCTCTTACATTATAAAAGCCTCAGTAATTAATATAGAGTGAAAAGGCCACATCGCATAACTACGAACATTTAAAACTTACAAACGCCCGCGACGAGAACATCAGTGCGATTGGCATTTTATTTAATTTAATTTAATTTAATATTAACATTACACAGTGGACTATACAAACCCGGTACGGCCGTGCGCATACGAATCAAACAATTCCATAACCGAAACGATCCATCCAACTAATTTAACGGCGCGGGGATAGGGAGAGCCGTGTTTGGGAGTTCGATAGGTGGATACAGGTGAGGGTCTCCACTCAAGGAGTCGCGTGACGCGTGACTCGTGATACGTGACCGGCGTGACAAGTCACGTGCGACGGTGCCGGGCCCGCGGTGCGTATCACGCTCGCAGCGCTGAACGTGATTTGAGCCGGCGTAGCGCGCGAGATACTGCCCCGTGTCCCCCACCCCCCCGCAGGCCGCACCCCGCCCTCCGTTCCCCCGTTTTCCCGACCGCCCGCTCCTACGTGATCCCAACGCATCTTAGCCCCGGTCTGAAATCCTAGCGGAAACACCGCGAAAATCCTTAGGACACTTGTGATTTCCCCCTAAATGTTCGTAATCGTCCATTATCTAAATGAGAAATATCTCATTTGGGTTTTATACTCTACATTACCATAAAAACACGAGAGATAAGAATGCATATTATTTTTGCAGATCGAATTTTATGCGCGGTCTTTTATCAAGATTGACGATATATCACGATTGATATCTTTAACGGCAGCTGTACAAACGTAGATTGTTATTTGTATTGTATATTACAAACAATATATATTTACAACTGCCCAAAAACTTGAAATACATAAATATAAATCACATTATAAAAAGTTACTATAAAGTATCGTATAGTAAATAATAGACCATTAATAAATAGTAAAAGTAAAGTAAATAGTTAAAGTAGACATAAATTATGCTTTTGCGAAATTTTACTAATTTTTATAACTCATACATTCACTTGTTAATTCTGTTGGCGGCAAAAGTATTAATGATAAGTTCTTGGCACATTTGGCATCATATGTCAATAGAGTCTCCCAATAAGTGTTTTGTGTTCCGGTTTTTACGAGTCGAAATACGTTCGGGCCTAAAATAAGAGAAATGGGTAAATAGAAACTATACACTCCTATCTACTCTGTCAGGGTTAAAAGCTGGATGAGCTTGGCGCCGAAACCTTTTTAGTGGTTTCACTAGTCCACACAAGTTACGCTGGCAACAAACAGTGTACGAGACCCGACCGGTGCGAAACTTTTTACTCCCACCCTAAGGCGTTTTGCATTGGCAAACTCTGTTCACGATTCAAGAGATTCCGCATTAGACGGAGCGGGGATGCGCGTACGATATACGGAATCTCAAAGTCAGATAGTAGAAATATCCTTATAGAATGACGATAACTATTAATAATATTCACTCTCAGCGAACCGTAACTGGAACAAACTGAATAACTTTCGCTTTCAACGCTCACTGTGTTGATTTATCTTCGTCCAGGCTAACAAAGGGTTTACTTTTCTACTGGCCTGCGGTTTCGTGGTTAGTTTAGATGATCATAGGCTTGAGTGCTTTGCAAATGTCTCTCATAACAGTTGGCATAACATTCCATTCTAGTCCGATTGAAATTCGAATTATTTTTCATTTCTTAGGGTTCCCTACCCAAGGGTAAAACACGACCTTATTACTAAGACCCCGCTGTCTGTTCAGTTTTCACAGATGATGTATTTCTGTTGCCGCTGTAATTAATCCTAAAAATCGAAATAAATTATAAAATGCCATCGTCGCGATTAGTTCTTACAAAATCATCTAAACTAATATTTCAGATTTGTGCAAGACTTCTGGCCTTCCATTATGCATCCGCGCCACCCAATTTGTTTTGCCATTAACATTTTATTGAAACATCACATCCAATATTTGTGAATTTTTACTTGGATAACCTACCCAACTGAACTAAGTTTTTGTCTGTTACTGTCGGGTAACAGACAACAGGGCTAAATCGACAACAGGTTAAATAACAACCCTGTTTTTTATGGATAAAAGGGGCCCGAGCAGGAGGCTCATCTGATGGTAGCCTGATAGTCACCTTTAGCGACCGCCTCTGGTTACCTCTTGGTTTGCCTCATAAGAAAAAGCCTATTTATGCATCATAGCGTACACGCACTTATACTCGTAAGCACACCTAGGTGCCTAGGTCTTGTACCCACCGCACTCCACTGAATGGGGCGCCAAGTTCTTTCATCGCAAAGTGCTGATATACTCACGACCATTTGAAGTGTGCACTCTGCACTTGAGTCTCGTTAATAAGCTCTGGAGAGTCAAAAATCAAAATTAAAACGAGATAAAATCCGTAAAATAGTTTCATTTAATATGTATATTCTAGCGTTTTTTGCTGCATCTACCATAAATTCTCACCACATCCTGGGTTGACTGGTAGAGAATGCTGTATTACTGAAGGTTGGCAATAAAGATCAAATAACTAAAATAACTAAATGTATAATATTCGCATAAAATCAAGAAATCAATATGATCTGGACAACTTAAATTTATAAAATGGCTATCAATAAATGAAATGTATATTTTTTACTTCAATGAATAAATTATCCGATTTGAGTTTGTTTCATAAGAGAAATGTTTATATAAATATGAGACGAACCCTATTTAAAGATTTCATCAAAAATTCTTACCATTGCATCGACATTTGTAAAACCAGCCGTAGTGATATATGTTTTGAAAAAAAAAATGGTATTGATGAACCTACCAATAACCTATCGACCATTATTATAAAAGAAGTATTCGTAGTTTTAGTATGCGTTTATTTTCCCGCGCCTCATTTCGATAGCATATAACAAACGTCAAGACAAGTTTATTAAAATTATGCCAGTGAACGATTCAATGACCATTACGTTTACAATAATCTGGCGATGACATTGTAAAACTCTCTACCTGTATCTTTCAATCTGAAATATGTTTCAAGAATCATGGCCTATATACCCTCTCACAAAAGCCACTCTCTTACTGTTCAATAGATTCAATTTGAATTCGCTTACATTTTCTAATACCCTGAAATGGTCGCTAAAGCGAGGCAGGTCGCTGCATATAATAAGATTATCGTGGGAAGATCACTTACAGCATCATTGCAATGCATTTTATTTTAGAAAATCACTCGACTATTCTACTTCATCTGATTTACGTAAAATCCCTGATAACTCTGATCGCTATTTAATTATTTATGACTAATTACGACTATAATCTAAAATATTTGCAAATACCGAATGATTTATATAGAGTACTTTTTATTAGATATATCACCTTTTTTATACATTGCTACGTAGGCTGAAATAAGTCATTTTTCGATAATATAACTTGGTAAGATTAATTAAGCGAATTTTTTGTGGTATCCGTACGCTAACATCCGATAGCAATAACGCTAGTACGATTCGTGACAAAAAATGTTTCTGTAAAATCGCGTAAACCGCGTAAAAGCAAAAACTGATCCAAATACAAAACGTTATCCAAATCGTTGTACCAATTTGCGAGGTACACGAAATATAAAAGAATCTCGGTTTTAAATATATGAAATATAGAAGAATTCGTCGTATAAATATACAACTGTAGTTATCTCTCGACTCGTCCGGGGAAATACAATGGCCTCTTAGAACACCGGCTTAAGTTGGAAGTATTATATTTTCGCGTTTCGTCTGGAGAGTATGATAAACGGCGGCCATTTTTTAGTGGTTGGCAACGCATCTGCAACTCGTCACCTATAGATGTCGATGGGCGGCGATAATAACTTAACATCAGGTGAATCGCCTGCTCGCTTGCCAACTTATCTCTCAAGAAAACTAAAATTAGTCAGTTTATAAGTCGGGGTGGGGCTTCTTAATGGAATTAATATGGCCGCTTAAATAGCATCTTCTATCTTTTACCGTTTTCTACTCCGTATATGACACATATTTTTACAATCGATCTTTATTATCTCGGCATAACGCATAGTTACGAACGTTCGTACTAAGTAAAGGAGGAACTCCTTAAAATGAACGTAAATGGATATTTATTTATTTATACATTTATTGTACACAAAACACAGGATACAAAAAAAAATGAAAATGGAAATAATGTACAAAAGGTAAGCTTAACTCAATATGAGAGTTCTCTGCAAGCTAACCTGGTGAGAAAATAGGTGATTGAAGGTAGCTGGAAATGTGTAAGGTAGCTGGATATATGCAACAAACGGCCATAAGTGAACTTACAAGTCTAGGAGGAGGCTCCCCATTTGTTAGATTAGAACCAATGCTCCCCATATGTCGATCTAATTGGACAAACTTCCTTGAATAGTTTCCAAACTCGTCGTATTCATTATTGAACATACATTTCTTTCTTTTCACACAGTTATTAAACCACAAATGTAACAGCGTGAGAACTAGAAGGCATTGGAAGAACATTTGATAATGAAATAACTCCAAACTACAAAGACAAACAAATACATTTATGCACACTATGAAAGCTTTCATCCCTAGTCACAATAACAACCACTTTCACAAAAGATACGATTTGGAGGAGACCTTATTCTGTAGTTGTGAAGATTGTTATGACGAGAAAAATGTTCGGCTAAACTGGAAGCATCAAAGGTAAAATCGAATGAGACATAAAGTGTGCATGATCGACAGTGACTGGGCAATAAATTATGATGATGATGACGAATCATGAACGTTAGTAGAACCAAACCCAGTCAAACTGTGATACAAACATAAGGTCAAGTCAAACTGTGATATAAACATGTGATACAAACAAAACACGCTATAGGCGTACAAATTTGCCCCAATTTTTCTCAGCTCTGTAATCATGGCTCGTGCCGACGGTACGCATTTTTAACGTGTTACATTTCTGTAACAATGTTACACGGCGCTTTATTCCGCTCCTTTTTTACAAATTATACCGTTGGTTGTTTATTAATACATTTTTAGAAAATTAAATTACAATCATCCCGTCCGGTTTTAACTAAATTGTATACAATGTTTCCTTACGAATAATAAATGAGAAAACTTTTTGCCAGCAACTGGTTTCCTATCCGAATACAACATATAAAGTATCTTGTTGTTTTGTCTTATTTTGATTAATTACCTCATCTTAGAAAAGATGTTGAGATTTTCGTCGATGTGGCAATCAGCCGTTTTTAGCTTAGTGTTTAAAGTCTTGGGTTCGATTCCCGCAACAGTGAGAAACTTTTCGCCTTTTGTAAATTAGTTTTAATAACTATCTAGTTTTTAAGGAAAAAAGGAGGATAAAAAGGCATTTGAGGTAGAAAAACGACACGCACGTATATAGATAATGGTGTTAAATGCTGGCCAGAAATAGAGTAAAAAATTAAATATTTACAATTATTCACTCACAATGGCTAACGACATCAGATAACTCGCCTAGATCAGAACACATTGTGCAATAATATATAAACATACATTGCAGAACAATAAAACGGTAATGAATTGGAAATGTTTCG